TTACTTTTGAACATTTTTTTCTCTCTAATCTCATCATGATCATGATGTTGAGCCAAAAGATGGATGAGCAGAAAGAATGGCGAAGAGATTAAATGATGGAGAAAATGAAACTCTTGATTGATTAGATTTTTCACTTTCATATTATTCAATTGTTAACTTGGTGGTCAAACAATGTATTCATTATCTTGTAATCTGGAAGATTCAAGATGAAAAAGATGAGCCAATGAATGGAAACAAAGAGATTGCTTATTGGTTTTACAGGAAAAGGAAGAAAAGATTTTCTTCTTTTCTCAAAATAACGGGTTGAAAAGAGATGAAAATCTGATGATGATGAATAAGATGATCTGTGGGAAGAAACTAGAAGTTTGATGAACAACGAAATGTTGATGATGAGAGTGGGAGAGCGAAAAAAATTATGTGAAATGCAAATGAAGATGATGATTGGAGTTGAGATTGATATTTGAAGAAGAAGAAAAAGAAATGAAAATGTTTTTCTTGTTAAAGTCACTGGATGAGCTGCAATGATGGAGATGAAGAGGCAAAAAGGCGTGCTGAGTTGATTGAATATGTAGCATCGGATAAAGTGGGTCTGACAGGGTAAGTCTCAGTCTTTGAATATTATTAGAAGAAGAAAGGAAAAGAAGGACAAAAAGAATGTTAATATTTTTTCTTCTCTCATTTTGTTATTGAACTGAAAATTTGCATATTTGTTTGATTGCTGATGAGAGCAGGATTACGCTAAGATGAACATGATGATCAAGACCAACCTTTTGGTTGAAATTGGTCAAACTTGCCATTTCTCAAGATTACATGTAAATTAAATGAATAACAATTGTAATGATAATGAACATGATTCCAGGAGATACGCTCAATAAGCATTTCCTACTTTCATTAGCAATTAACATTTTCATCAATTGACCAACACTGGTCATTTTGCTTGTAAATTGCATTCTAAGAAAAGTAAACCATGTTTTTGTTTTCCAATGAAAATTTTCTTATTTTTTGCCTCTTCTAATCATTGATTTATTGAAATGCCATTAGAAGGCAATTTTCAAGAGAAACTCAACTTTTATAATTTAATATAATTTTATCATTTCATTACATTTTAATTTATCAGCTTTTCCCTTTCAATGGCAAACCTTTTTTTTCCTTGCTATTTCAATGTGTTTGGTTCCCCTGAATTTGATAACTCACCAAGCCTTGAATCAATTTTAATTGAACTTGATTAGCGTTTAAACATTTTCATCAATTAATCAGATTTCACTTTCAGTAAACAGTAAATGTTTAACTTTCCAATTGATTGTTGAGCTAATAGTTTATGAATAATTTATTTGTTTGTTTATCTTTAAATGATTTAATTAAAGTTTCCAGAATTGAATAATTAACTCAGAGTTTGCCAGAAAAACTAAATTTCAATTTTTTCGAAAAAAAACATTTTCTTTAAAAAAATCTTCAATCTTGAGTTTTCACTTTTCACCATTTAATCGTTGAGCTTTTCAGTTACCATGAAGTTGAATTATTCAGCTTTCAAATGGTCTGCCAAAGGTCATGTTTTGTCATTCATTAAACTGGCGACTTGATGCTCAATGAGTCTCAAGAGTAAAATGAAAAGTTTCATCTTTCATTTTCCTTTCATCGACCTTTTCTCAAAGTGGTCAACTTTTTGTTCACTTGATGAGCAAAGTTGAAATGCAAAACTTGAGCCTTGATCATCCATTTAATATGAAATTAGTAAATTGATAAATTGGTAAAAAGATGAGCAGAGAAGAGGAGAAAAGGAAAAAGATGAAGAAGAAGAAGAAGAAGAAACAAAAAAATTAATTTAATACAGTTGAACACACCTAGTTATTGGCTTGAAAAACTGAATGAACATCATCAATCTTAACTGTATAACCTTGACAACAACTGAACTTGAGTAAAAATACAAAATCAAAGAGATTAGTCCATATAATTTAATCGATTACATTGGCCTTTTCACAATCGATAAATCGATAAGTTTCACATCATTATCAGTTGCAGTTGAAACAGTTTTTTTAATCGAAACTTTTTTCCAACGCATTTCTCTGTCAATTTCAAAAGATAAGATTCATGAATCAAAAGAAAAAGCAAAGTCGATTTCAAGATTCAATTTTGCATCTTCAGAAGAGAAACAATCTTTTCCATCTTTTTCATCATCTTTTTCATTCTCAACATTATCGACATGATTTTGACCTTTTTTCCTTCTTGGCCATTCTCATCTTTCACTGTCCAAATGATTAAAGGCAACTTGACAGGATCAATTGAAAACTGGACACATTCACATTGTAATAACTGTTGTCAACTAAACGTTTGTTTCATCAATTGCAACTGATGAACAGGCTTCTTGTTCCAGTTGGAACAATGTTCATCTGTAAGTGATGATCTTACATCTTTCATGTTGAACCCAAGGTGGCCAGTGAGTAGGAGTAAGGGAAGACCATGAAAGATACCTTTTTGTTTAACTTGTGTTCACCCAACTTTACTGTAAGCAGAGTCATAAATGGCTAGTTTCCTTGGCCGGAAACACTTGGCACAAGAATCTTCAACATGGAAATTGTTTCGATTAATTTACCAATTCTCATCAATTTAGCTTCTCTGTAATTTAAGCTGTTCATGTGTGTGGTCAAACCTTTAACCTTAATTTAACCTCAAATTTCCTTTACTACTTTACATCCTTTTTCTTGGTAATCATTTGTTCATTAACCATTCAATGTATTCAATGGGCCAAATGTTTAACTTGAACTTTATTGATTTACTATTAAAATTACAAATTGATTGGTAAAAGAAAAGGAAAAATGAATAAAAAATTTCATTCACCATTTCCTCTTCATTCCTTCACAGTTTGAACCTTTTGCGGCTCAACAATTTTACTAGTTTGGATTCATTTAAATAACTTGAACTGATTCAACATTTGATGCTTTTTGATCAACATTTCTTCTTTGATTCACTTTTTCCAACCTTTACTAATTTAATAGTTTATTCATTCATCAGGTTAAGTTAATCAAATGGTTGATTATGATTTGGATAGAAAAAGATTTTTCAGTTTTTCCTTTTTGTTTCGTTGTTACGCTTTTCTTGAATCAACTTTTCTGTTTACAATTTGAATGCGCTTCAAATTGCCTTTGAAAGGAAAATCCATATTTTCTTCTCATGATTGTACCAAAATTGAATATCATTACAGAATCTTCATGTTGATGTTGTCTTTACTGATTGTCTCAATGATTCAAAGAATCCCGAAGAAATGAGTAAAGGAAAGGAATAAATTTAACTTTTTTTTTCTTCTTCTCCTTCAATTCGTCGATAATAGAAATAAGGGAAAATGCTTATTATTTTCAATCTTTTTCTTTCCTTCATTTCATCTCATATCATGTAATGTATCATGTGTTTAGAGGGCAAAATTGTTATTGAATAAAGTGAAAGAGAAACTGAAAAGTGAGACAGAATAAACTGAATGGAAAAAATGACATTTTTCTGTTTATTCATTCCAAATATTAGATGAAAGAAAAGACGAAAATCAATTGCAATTGAAATGCAATTTGAGTAAATCTCTTGGATTTAACAAGTTGATGGAAAAAAAGTTCTGGTTTCGAAACAAAATTCACTAATTATCATCTAAATCGCCGTTAAATCCACTTTTACAATGTTTCAGAAAAGAACTTTTTTTCGATGGAAAAATGCAAATCCAACAAATTCCTTTTCGACTTTTTTGGGTTAAATTTGGAACTTTGTTTTTTTATCGAACAGTCATTTGAAATTTATCAGCTGTTTAGCTGGAAAAGTTCATGGAAAAGACTGAAATCTAACTTTTGTTTCAGAATATTTCTTGTGATTGATTTTATTCGCTTTCAAAGCGTTTTTGGTTGAAATGGAAAAGTCTCGAAGTTTTAGTTCGTTTTTTGCTCATGGTTTGGGTTCGAAGAGAAATGAAGTTTCTTTCATTGACAGGTTTCCATGTTCGTTATTGCAGGAAACCGTTCGAGTTATTCATGGAAGAGAAAAGGAAACAAAAGAATCGATTAGACTTGAGTAAAAGTTTCACGATTTCAAGTTGAACTCAAGATGTTTATTAAGAATCAAATGTTTAGTTGAAAAAATGATCTAAATCAATGAAACTGATTAAAGTGAAACTCGATAAAGCTTGTTATCTGAGTTCTATTCATAAGTTCAATTAGAATCACCAGAAACATTTTGCCTTAAAGCAGTTGATCGATTTTTTGGAAATCATTTTTCAACGATAAACAGCAATTAGAGAAGCAAAAGTTTCAATCTTTTTCCTTCTTTCCAATTAAATGACAATTGTTATAAAAATGTACTTTTTTCAACTCAAAACTTGAACCTTTTTCTCATTTCAAAATAGAATCATGATTATCAATTGAAACTTTTTTATTCACTTATTCAATCTTTTGATAACAAATAATAATATCGTAAATCTTGATAAATCAATTTCAATTTTCTAGGTAATCTTTTCATTTCTCTTTCAACTTCTTTTATCAGAATTTTTCTTCAACCTTTATTCACTTTCTGACTACTTGTTAACATGCAAAATGAAACTGTATTTAGATGGTAAAGAAGAAGGAAAAAGAAGGAAAATCAAGGTAAATTCATGATTACTCTGTGGCAATGGTTATTCAATTGTTACAATCGTTCAATGATATAGATATACCTTTTCCTATGAGATCAGTGTTGCCTTAAAATTGAAATTGAAAAGAAGACAATGAAAGAAGAAAACATTTTTTTCTCAATCTTGTGTAAATGATTTTAGGCGATGATAATGATGAGGAGAGATTGAATTTAGATTGCATCCATTTCATGATATCCTTTGTTCAACTATTCATTTTGCAGATGAAAAGCCATTAGAGTTGAAGTTCAATATTTTGTTGAATCCATTATTTGATTAAAAGTGTCACCTTTTGTTAATTTCATTTAATCATTTGGTTAAACATTAACATGATCCGTTTCATAGCAATAAAAATGGTAAAAGGTTTTCTTGGAAAATCATTGATTTGTTGTCACAATTAATTAGGCTCATTAAAGTACAGGTTTTAGTCTAATTAAAAAGGTCAAAATGTGAATATAATCATAATAATTGTCGACTTTTTTTGTTCATTCAATTAGGCTTTTGATTAATGAGCAAGTGGTGAATAGTTAAATTGATTAAAGAGGTAAAGGGGAGAGAAATGACAATTAATATTAAACAATATCTTTTTTTATGGCCATAGGCTGATGCCATTTCAACTGATGAAAATAATATAATAATTATTAATCATTATAATAGCCATAATCGTTAAAGGTTAAACAAGAAATGGCAGAAGTGAAGATTTGCAAGAAAAATTTGCTTTCCTTTCTTCTAAGGTTAATAAGATTTTGCTTTTTCTTTACTGCATTTCATCTTTTTTTTACCTCATTTTAGTGCAACTTTCAATGTGATTTATGATTATTTGTGTGACTAAATGTAATCACCAATCACACATAAAATGTTAAGTGAAAAATGATCATTTCAGTTAATATAAATTGTAAATATCGCTAACCCTGTTTACCTTCACCATAGTTCAACCTTTGAACCAATGAGTCTAGGTAAAGTCTAGAGTTAATCTTTAAAATATTAAAACAAGTTTCTTTGATGAATAACAGTTTTCTTCAAGATTGAACATTATTTTTCTTGTTTTTTTGTTAACATTAGCAAGGCAACAACCAACAGTCATTCTGACCATTCTCTTGCTTTTCACATAGACATTTCTGTAAAGCTCATCAATATCATCTTGTTGCATTCGACCTCCATCTTTGCCGGCAAAATTCCGACGAACTTGTTTTTCTTTTAACTTTAACAGACCAAGAGAAGGTAAAAAAGGCAAAAACATTAGCAACAGTTAAGATTATGTGAACAGCAGTTAATACAGCTCACCCTGAGCCTTCACAATTGCTTTTTAACTCTCGTTACCTGTAAAAACAAAATATCGTTTCTTTAAGTAGATGAGAAAAGGGAGAGCACAAGTAAAAGGAGATGATGAGGATGATGATGGAGATGAGGAGGAAGAGCAGAAGGTAAACTATCTTGCACCCAATTGCCTGAGGATAGTGATTAAGGTGAGCTTTTGGACCCTCCACAACTTTCTTCATCTTTCTTCTTCTTCTTTCGCCTGTTCTTGTTGTTTTTTGCTTCTCTCTTCTCTCTCTCTCTTCATCTTCTCCTTAACTCTATTGGGAACAATTGCAAGGAAGCGAAGATAAGGAGGAAAAGGGACTCTATCCATTTCCATACTAAGAGGTTCCCTCTCAATTAAAAAATGAGGGAAGAAGATGAGAAGAACTCCTCTAAGAAGTGCTCCTTCAACTGGCTTTTCATCTTCATCTTTCGCCTTCTTTTTCCTTCCTTCTGCAAGACCACCAAAGACTCACATATTAGTGACGATTCTCGATTACAAAGTAAATTGTTGAATCTTCCTTCCATTTGCTTTGCTTTTTTTGTTTCTTCTTGGCTCTTTATCCACATCTTGGTCTTTTACCTTCACCTTTTCTTGCCTTCTCCTACTTTTGTACCATCAATGATAAAGTTGAGTGAAAGACTGATGGGCTTGATGATGAGGCGAGCCAAAAATTTTGACCTGATAAAGAAAAGAAGAAAAAAAGGATGAAATTGATGCACATCTTTTTGATACTTTTTTACAATATCATGTAGTAAATGCATGAAGATATGTAAGTATAGTTAATCTATGTTCGCCCGTGGCTCAATTTCCTTTTCAATTAAGGCTTCCTATTGTCCAACTGAGTTTTTATTTCAATGAACCTTCATCACAATCAATCTCCTCTATACTTACATTAAGGTCTAATTTTCATTTCTTTTCATTCTCTTTCCCTTTTCATCATCAAATCTTTTCTCCTACTTTTTTTTATTTCAATGTATCTTTCGTGTTTTGTTCATCACTGATATCAAAATTTTTCTTCCCTTTCACTGTCAAACTTTTTTTTCTCTGCTGCAGCAGCACTCTCCCTGATAAAGCGTGACTTTAAATTCATTGATTGAATAAAGTATTTTCTCAATCACATGTAATTTAACACATTTATATGTATATACATTTTATAATATATGTATACAAATATACATGAAGGATACGCTTTTTTGTCATTGTTGTTGTTGATGTTGAGCTGTTATTCATTGTCTCATTACCAATTGATTTCAACAAAAGGTGATTACTATTCATGATGTGACCAATGTGAATATCATCCGTGATCATATCAATGTAATGGCTGCCGTTGGTATAAATATAATTTCTTGTAACTTTTCCAGGCTTTTTTGTCCTTTACTCATTGTTATATTGACTATTGACTGTTGCACTGTTTTGATCCTCATCTTTACCAATTTATTGGCAACAATAAAGCAAAGTCTAACAAGTAATACAAGATTGACACTTAAACAAACGTATCAACGGGACCATCAACACTTTTAAAAAGCAAAACAAGAAAACTCGTCACTTGGTTTGAGCGGAAAAATTTGGTTTCAATTTGAGGAGCGAGGAGACAACAAAACTCAAAGTGTCATTATGTCCATCTTCTTGTTTATATCCTTGTTCAATAATACAAGTATGATTTAAGTAATCATTTCCATTGTTAATGGTGACAAAAGCAATTCTTGTTCAAGTTTACCTGAAGATGGTGAGAGCAAAAAGAGAAAGAGAGAAAAAAGAGACAAAGCTATGAGTTAATGTTGACTTTCAACATTGATAGTTATTCAATTTGGAGTAAAGTTACACTGATTGATTACCTTGACTTGAGAAGATGAAATGGAAAAAAAAGGTTGAATAAAGATTTTTTTGGCGACTTGCCAAGATCAACTTGAGATGATAAATAAGCTGAAAAGCACAGCAAGGGAAAACTGTAATAAAATATCTGCAATGCAAACCAGCACCATGTTTTTCCATGAGCCCGATTACAGGGAGAAAAGGCCAAAGGCAACAGAGTATGAAACAAGAGTAACAGCAAGATGAAAAATTTAATGTTGATGGAGACACGAGATGTGCTTTCGGTAGACACTCAATCAGTCAGTCAAAACAGTGTATACAGATTAGCCAAAGAAAATTCAATATTTCCGTTCATTGCATACCATTTGTATAATGATGATAATATTAATGGACCTAAAGGAAAATAAAGAGAAGAAAAGAAGGTGAAAATAAGAAGAAAATGAATAAAAGAAAGTAAAGTCTCATCATGTAACTAATGAGCCTTTACCTTCTCCATTTTTTTCCATGTTGATATTTTTACACATTCAGTTTCAACTCTCTTTTTCAATATAACTCGTGAAGCAACTTATTACACAAACAGACAGCATCAACCTAAATACGTTTTACACGAAGAGAGTGAGAGGAGAAGGAAAAAGAGAAGAGAGAAATGTGTAAATTGTATAAGAATAAAGTAACATGGAAAAAGATTTTTCTTGCCGTTCCAATCCAATAAATTTACTTTCACTTAAGGTGGTCCTACCAAGTCTTTGTCACCTAATATTATCCGGCAAAAAGTATACAACATAAATGCCATTATTCATCACACTTCTTCCATCATCAGGATATTGTTGCCTCAGTTATCCAACATTTTTCTTGGCTTTCCTTCATCATCTTGCTCTGCCACTTTCCATTCATTCCTAACTACTCTTTATTGCCATTCTTGAATCCATACATTTCCATCTCTTGATATTGTTTATTTTCCTCTTGTTTCTCTCCACCTTTGAGCCAGTTCGCAATTTCATCCATACTTCAGTAAATTGATCTAATTTCGTAAATGATTGATTCAGAATCGTAAATACATGGAAATACTATTTACATTTTGCAACTGTGAGAAAGAAATGAAGAAATGTATGAAAAAAAAGAGTGAGAAAAATGAACACAAGAAAAAGAAACTGATAAGAGTCATGGCAATTTTAATAACTTGCCAGTTGTTGGATGTTTCTCATCAAAGTAATAACTGTTGCTCAATGATTCTGACATTTCGGAATTGTTGTGATTATGATGATGGTGATGAAGCAAGCGTAACTATCAACTATCATTTTTTGAGTCCGTCTCCATTTCCATTTCTTGTTCACTTTTGTCATCTTATTCGTCCTCTTCTTCCTCTTTGATCTTTCCCTATCCCTCTCTTCACAAGAGTCACAAGTGAGAACGATCGAAATGATCAATGGGAATGACAATCTGTGAGAAAAAAAAGTAAAACAAAAAAAATAAATATGATGAAGTACAAGAAAATTGTTCACTTGCTTTTTTTTCCTCTTTTACCTTCTTCTTCGTCCTAGTCTTGTTTCATCTTCATCTTCATCTTTCCACCAAGGGTAATACCAAGTAACCCTGTGAAAATAAAAAAAGACAGACTAACAAGACATAGAGCATCTTCTCAAATTTCAGTCATAATGAGAGTGACTTGACCTTCTCATCTTTACTCTCATCATTTTTACTCACTCGATGGGTTATATCATTTGTGATTATCAAAGATTAAACAAAATTGAAATCTAGAATCTCTTTTTCCCTCTTTCTCTATCCAACATTTTTCCTCTCAATTTTTTTGATATTTTCATTTAATTATGACTTTTTTGACTCTTCTCAGTATCTGACTTTTTTGCTTCCTCGTAAAGAATTAATTTGAGTGGAAACGTCTTTTTTTCAAATACTAACCAAACAAGCAAAAACCAAGTATATAAACCATATCGACTCATTAATTTACTTTTTTTTTACTTGATTGTGAGAGAAAGAGAGGAAAAACAGATTCTCTGATTACTATTAAATTAACTTTCAAGACAGTTTACAGTCAATTGGTATATTCAGTTACATGAGGCTCTGGACTTTGGCTTCATCATGTTCTGCACCATCTTAATCTTGATGAATTTAACAACCCAAATCAATGGCACACTCACAACTTTGTTTATATCAACAACAAAAAATATGAAGATGATATCTTACAAGATAATCTTTGATCATCTTCATTTTCTGTCTTGTTAAACTACAACCTTCTTAAAATCACCTTACATACATCATTTTGATAATTATTGAGAATCAAAATGTACACCAAAGGTTATGAAGATGATGATGATGATGACGACGATAACGACAATAATAATAATGATGATGATAATGATAATCATTATGAAGAGGAGAAATATGGTTCCAATGATTTACTTTTTTTTCTGTTGCTTGCTTCGTCATCAAATTTACTCCAAGTCTAAGGCTTTTTTTTTCATTAAATAGTTGAACATAAAATGAAGTTATAAAAATGCCCTCAAGTTATCGTCAATCATATTTACTTTTTTTGATTGGAGGCAACTGAAGGCTTTACTTTTTTCTCTTCTTTGCTTCATTCATCTTGTTGAGTTAGAGCAAGCAAAGTGAAGGGTTAATACTTGCAAGTTGAGACTAATAAGCATCAGGAAAGGATGTAATCATTGTCATCATTATCATCATCATCATTATCACAATTGTCATTATCATCTTCATCAGCGAAAATTAAATGGTTCCATTCTTGATTCACTTTTTTGACAATTATCTCGAGGGATTTTGAGTGACTTAATTTGTTGAAATATTTGCTAATTTACGGTTGTAGTGATAGCTGGTAAGGACAATGAAAATGTGAAGTAACTTTGTTTGCTTTGGTTAGGTTGATCATCTTGTTGTCGTTGTTATTGGTTAATTTAATGATGGTTTTCTGGTTTTCATGTGATTTCAAATCTGAAAGGAAAAAGAAGAAAAAAAACTATCATTTCATTGAAAATAGCCATAATATTTACTGACCTCTATTAATGTCTTTTTGTTTTGCTTTAGTTTATTTTGTCCTCTCTTTTTTCCTACTGACAATTCATAACTTTTCATGTTCCTCTTCATCAGTCATTCTCTCGTTTCAATTCTGATTCCCTTTTATTCCATTGTTATCATGAAGGTGCTGATTTTTTGCTTGTATATAATATGATTTGCTTCCCCATTCCATCTTGTGTATGTGTATATATTTTTTCCGTCTCTCCTCCAAGCAGCTTTTTTCTTATCGTTTTTTATTTCTTTCTACTTTTTTTTCTTGTTCTTCCATCAAACAGTTTCAAAGGCTAAAACTATTAATGAAGATGAATTGCCTTTTTTGCAGATTGATTGAAAATCTCGAAGGAGAAGCAAGCAAGCAAGTCAAAGGGAAGAAAATGAAACATCAATGATGACGACCAGAGCAAGAATGAATGGATATTGACACGAATTATCCATACAGAGAGATTTGATATCTCACTTTTTTTTGCATCCTCTGCCCTTTTCCTTCTCAACAGATCATCCCAAAGCTATAAAGCTTTCATCGCTCAGCTTAGGTCGATCTGGTCAGGCTATTGGTTGAATGGTTTGTAAGAATTAAAAAAGAGAGTCCATGTTGTTGATGTTGTTGATGATGATGATGATGAACGAGAAAAAAATGAATTCTGTTGATGAAAAAAAAGAGAAACAAGTAAAATATATATGTAAGAAAGTCAATCTTGAAGAAAGCCTCATACTGTTTGAATGTTGAAGGAACAAGCAGAAATATTTTACCAATGATGATGCCTTTGCGTCAACTTACTTTCATCTAGATGATAGATTACTTTTGAGTAAGAGGTAGAATGGATAAAGATGATGATTATGATGATCAAGGAGAAAAAAGTGAGATCTTCAAAAGTGAAAACAAGAGCGAGTCAAATATAAAAAGGTAAAGTCTGTAAAGAAACAAAACAAAGAAAAATGTTAATATTTCTAGTTTCATATTCACATTTTTTTTCTTGAGAATTATTGCCTTTTCTGTTTCTATGAGAAATTATTTCTGTTTATTGTAATATATCTATTATGTGTGTTCAGATATATATAAACAATTTGTGGCTTCTCTGGCCTCTTTATCAACATCTTAGTTCAGTTCAACATTTCCAAATGTTATATGAAACCATATCAGAGTCTTCGTCTTAATAACGATATTTTATCCTTATATTATTAAGTCATTGAGAGTAAGAAGAGAAGATTTGATGGAAAAGGAAAGAAAGGTAATAAGAAAATTTAACTTTCTTATAAACCTAATCAAATTTCAGTTGCTAATTGATTTGAGTCTAACTGCCTCCTTCTCCTTCCATCTTCATTACCATCATCGTCCTTTTCTTTCCTTTTCTTTAGTTTTTACCTTTCCTGATTACTGATTTTCCCTCTTGGTCTTGATTACTCTGCTTTCTGGAACTGGAAATTACTTGACCATTTAGCAATAGATTAAACGTGATTTAACTTGCATGACTTTGATTGGCACCTAGGATAGGCTTATTCATCCGGAATCTCTTTGATTATGTGCAATAATGAAACAAAATTCAGTTGATTCCTATTTAACATTGCTCAACTTGTTCATGTTTACTGATGTTTTATATTTATAAAATCAGCAAACTAGTTGATACTCTTGTAACTTTTGTATTTCCACGTTGAAGTAATACTGGCTTTCCTCTACACTTATATTGTGTATTGCTTTTACTTCACTTTAAAATCAGTTGAGACAATCATGTTGTTAATTAGGCACCGTAATTAGCTTGATTGGCTATCATGTTTGTTATTCCTTTGATTCTTGTTTGATGGTTTTCTCTTTTGCTCTTTTTTCTTGAGGAAGAAAAAAAACAATTTACTCTTTATCAGTTCAACCTTTACTGCTTATAGTCAAATATTTACGCCAAACCAATAGATCATGTTGTTAAAATCGTGATTCAAGACATTTTTCCTCATCAAACTTGATCCATCATTTTCTTAAGTTTTCGTTTATTATTGCTCTTTCTTTTCTTTCTTTTCTTCCCTGCTTTTCCATCACCATCATCATCACCATCTTCTTGTTTCTTTACAAGTCTTTACATCAACTGGAAGCATTAGAGAAGAAAAGATAATCAAAAAAGTCAGTTGATGTTGAATATTTGTTGAATGTTATTGAAGAGAGATGACTTTGTTCATTAACGGGTAGACACATCAAGAACAACAGGAACAACATGAGAGGCCTCTCATCATCATCCTCATCATGAAAGAGTAAACTGCAGTTTCATCATGGAGACTGATAAAAAGTGGCGTATTAACGCAATTTATTATCAACCTGAATGGGGAATAAAAACAATAGTTTAGATTTGAAGGCATTAAAAAAAAGAGAAACAGAGAGAAGGATGAAGAAAGATATAAAAAAGGCAAGGGGAAGAGTAACTTGATGATGATGATTATTATTATGATGATCAAACTAACCTCCTAAAAATGCAAATTTTGTGTAGCAAGCAATAAGATGCGAGATAATCATGGTTACCCTTGGTAAACAATCAATGTTCATCGACATGATCCATTAACAAATTCCGCTTCCAACTCCGCCTGCTTGTTAATATTATTAATAAGTTGATGAAAAAGATGATAAAGTCTGTAAAGAGAGAGAGAGAAAAAATAAAAGAGTAGAGAGAAGGATTAGTAAAAACGTGAATAATCATGCATGAAAGTTAAGTGTGTTGCTGTGTCTGTACTTGATACCCTTCCCACTAGCAGATCAAGTGAGATGGTGATAAAAACAAAAGCGCAGAGTTAAGATGAATGCAATGAAATTAATAAAAATGTTGCAAATCCTCCCATATAAACGCCTTTATCCTTATTTCATTTTCAGTTTGGATGGAAGCAATTCAAGCCAAAATAGATTCAAATTACCATATTTTACATTAATTTCACGCGGTCACGTGATACAACTTAATCAATGATTACCATAGAATAGATTATGGGGTTTGATGATTAAAATTAAGGTAGAAAAAGAAAAACCAACCAAATGATGAAAAGCGTATCTCCATGGTTTCAGGGTACTTAGCGTTTCAGTTATTTATCCTCCTATCAGAATGGACCAACAAGAAAGTCATATAACCATCTCTGCCTCAATCATCATCATCATCATCACGGCCATGGTCGTAAGCTAATTAACGTGGCGTGCCACCAGTTTGTGAAGCGAATGAAGAAAAAAAACAAATTCAAAAAGTGGTTGCTTCTGCTGCTGTTTCCATTAGTTGCTAAGTTTTGGCTGCTTTGCTTGTTGCATATTTTTCTTGTTGATAGATTTTCCACTTTTTTTCTCCTTCTTTTCTTGTCTCTTCTCTTTCCACACTGAGAATGGCCATTCTCTTTGCTTGGTAATTCTCTTAGGTTCAGATTTTTTTTATCCATTTCTCATGCAATAGCAGACTGGTTACGCACACGATTACCAGTTCTGTTGAAGCCAAATAACCAGTGTTTCTATATATTCAATATTAGCTTGGTTTGTGCATTTAATAGCAGTTAAATGCTAATAAACATAGTAATGCATAAAATTATCGCGTATATAGCGTGTCAACCATGGACGATGGCCTGAGGCAAGCGAATTCGGTCATCCGTACAATCTGTGTTGTCTTTTAATGTTAGCTTCTGTCTCTTCGCTTTGTTAACTCCTCCTTAATGAATATAAAGGGCTGGTTTCTCAGGTGATGATGGTCGACTGTAAAGATATAGGGAACAAAGAGAAATAATTTATATTTTTATCATCATCATTATCATCATTACTATTTTGACTTCAATTTTGAATCCTATAACTTGACGATAGGTTCATTGAAAATGAAAAAAACAAGAGTGCTATCAAAGACTTTCAATGGTTTCAGGTTTGTCAAAAATATCTCTTTCAAAAACTTGAAACATTACATGTAAAATTGAACTTCAACAGGATCTATTTTACAATTTAGAATCCAATTTTTGCTTCTGCTTCATTTTAAGACAATGAATCAATTGAAAATGGTAAATATTAAATGCTCTAATGCATCGTGAAGTGTCTATGTTTTACATTACCATTAAATATTCTCATCTTTGTTTATCTGATTCATTTAACTGAAGTCTGGAATAAAAGACTTGATTTCAAATTGATTTCAAGTTAATTCTCCCTCTTGCAACAAATTAACAAGACGATATCAAGGATCATATGCAGAAGCATATATATTTAATCAATGGTCTGGTTCTTTGTATTTGTATTATTTAATTCCTTTTTTTCTCCTTCTTTATTTGCACCGACCTCTTGAACCATTGACTTCTTTTACTCAATTGATGCTTCACAAGATACAAGATACAGAACCTAGTCAATGAAGAGAAAGAATAAATAAATAAGACAAAATTAAATGGCGAATAAAATAAACAATCAAATACATAAGAGGATGATTCAAAAAAAGCTAAAGCTTTCAAGAGATTTAATGTAATGGTTGAATATATAGACGATCCAGAAATAAGACAAGTTTATCGATGAAAGTCAATTTAGAAGGGAATTAAACAATTACCTGATTAAACAGTTTAACTTGACCAGAAATAATGTAATTAACGAGTAATTAATGGGTTAAAAACAATAGTTGAACAAAAAAAGGGTGTAACAGTAAAAACGTAATAGAGGTAAAAGAGCCATAAGATGCAAAAGGTTAAACAGTTTGAACAGTTAAAAATGTAGAGATCGTCACAGAATTTACGAATTATGGCTTGATTAATTTAAAAATCATTCTCAGTAATGAATTTTAAACAAAAAAATAGGATTAAATTAACTAATTGAATTATAATTTGGAAATAATTGAACGATAATTGACAAAGTGAAATATTTAACCATTTCTTTCAACAAAAAAACGGTTATCAATAGCTGCGCGCCATCTATTTGTAGCAACTTTTTCGACTGAATTATATCTCAAAGAAAAGTTCATAATGCTTTGAGCAATTGAAAGTTAAAAGATGAAGAAATGTTGAACTGAACATTAAAATTTCATGGAAGCCAATTGTGGTGCAATAAGAAAATTAGTTTATTCAGTAAAATGATATTAATCTTTTTATTCATTGTAGTCGACCAACTAACCGTTAGATGGCAGTGGTAAAATGGGCGGATTTTTTTGGGAAACTCTCTCATCTTTTTTGGGTTGGTGAGATTCTTGAGAAGCAAAACAAGTTCAGTCTCTTCAAGTTTACCAAACTATCAAGTTATAGTATGTAGAAAATAGTGATTTAAGTTTTTTTCTTCCTCTTCTCTTCTTCTTCTTCTTTATACTATGCATCCGCTTGATAAGTTGATACACAATGTTACAACGAGATGCAATCACACTCGGATTACAATTTTTGTAACGTGCCTTTTTGTGATACAATTGTCTACAATGTGCCAATTAATTTACGCATCACCTTTAGCAAATAATCCATTCTCTGGATATTCACCACATTCATCGTTTGATTCTCATTTTAAATCTTCTGTTTTACGTTCACCATCATCAGTGTCATCTTCATCTTCTTATTCAGTGTTTTTACCATCACCAGCACCTTTGTCATCATCATCATCTTCATCTTCTTTCCATTCATCTCAATTTCCAATTGTGGATTCAGCCATTTTAGATTATTATGTTACTCCAAATGTGACCATTAATTTTACGCATATTGCTTATGATCATCGAAGTGATCGTCTTTATGTGGGCACCTCTAATTGGTTGTATCAATTTAATGCTAGCCTCGAAGTTGAGGTTGCAGTAGAGACTGGTCCAGTTTATGACAGTCCATTATGTTCACCAAGTGATTGTACGAGTATTGATAATACCGTGTTAACCACCAATTTTAACAAAGTTCTAGTCATTGATGAAAATTCCAATAAATTAATTGCCTGTGGTTCTGTTCATCAGGGAGCCTGTCGTCGCCATGATTTAGATAATATTGCCTCTAAAGAGGAATTGGTTCCTGTACCTGTAGCAGCTAATGATGAAAACTCTTCAACTTATGCCTTTATCGGTCCAGCCAGATATTATAATCAACCGGTAAAATCTGTTTTGTACATTGGAACAACCAACAGTCGCCTTGGTCCTTATCGTGATTTTGTACCCGCCATTGCCAGCCGTAGTCTTGAAGAGGGTCCCAAATTGTTTAATATTATTGAGAACTCTTTTTCCGATACAACCCTGGTTGATATTGAATCTCATCTCAAAGATTATTATCTGGTTAAATATGTGTACGGTTTTCATACAGATGATTTTGTCTATTTTGCCACCGTTCAGAAGAAATCCCACCTTCGTGCACTTGAAGAATGGGGTTATGTCACTCGATTAGCCAGAGTTTGCTCTTCGGATGCAGCATATAATACTTATACCGAAGTTACCCTCTCATGTTTAGGACCTGATGGAACTGATTACACTCTTCTTCAGGATGCAGTTACCATCAAAGCAGGCAAAACATTAGCTGCTGATTTAAATGTTAAACCTGGATCCCAATTATTTATTGGTATTTTTTCAACACCTAAAGATCATACATGGGAACCAGCTTCCTCTTCTGCAGTTTGTGTTTATTCAGTGGCGGATATTGAGAGTAAATTTAATGAAAACATTCATTTGTGTTATAATGGAAGTGCACTTACTCGGAATATGGATTATATAGCTGGAAATATTAAAGATTGTCCAGAACCAGGAGTAAGTTTCACCAACCAATCTAATTCACACAATAATTATAATTATTTATTGTGTCAATTATAATCTCTAACAAATCTCTCGGATTCTATTAGAGTACATGTGTCTATTCATTTGTTAATTTTAATATTCTTTTTCAACCAATTCTATTAACAGAGTGGTAATGTGGTTAGCTTTTGTGGTGAAACATTAAAATTAAATGGTTCCATCCCGATAATATCAAACTCAGCCATTGTTTACAACGAAACATTGACAGCAATTACAGCTTTAACAGTCGACGAGACAAACGTTGCATTCATCGGAACTTCCAGAGGTCGCCTTAAAAAGGTAAAGAAATGAGCGAATCCTCTTTTCGAGATAAATTTTCCCAATTTAGTGTTAAAATTGGCAATTTTTTAACCTCAAATGCTATGGATATTTTCATTTTGAGTTTGGTTGCCTGTGAATGGCTTATCGGTACCTCTGAACTACTTCTTGAAGTTGAATATTATTCCCTTAAAGCAGCTGGTTCATTAATTTCAGCTGAAAAAGTTCATGCAATCATTGAATATCTTCATGTTCTTGGTTTCATTATTTTATCCTTTTTCGTGGTAGAAATAATTTCTAAAGCAATTTTCCTTGGTATTAAACATTTCGCTCACATTTCTGAAAGCCTTGACGCGTCCGTTGTCATGTTTTCCCTAGTTATTGAACTTGTCGTTAAAAATCATCCATCACTTGAAAGAATCCATGTTCTCTCTGAATTCATTATCCTGTTACGTTTTTGGCGAGTATTTAAACTTATTAGAGTTCTCATGGCAACCAATAAATTAAGCGTAGAAGCTGCTTTTCGATTACATTTAAATAAAAAAGATTCGGAAATCATGCAACTAGCAGAGATTATCAAACAGCAAGGACCAGAATTTACTGAGAGAATAGCACATTTATTGCCACCAACAACTGAATTAGCTTCCAAATCCAATGAAATTAAATAATTAAACCTTCTTTATTCCTTTCATCACATAATTGTTCTCAGTGATTATCCATTTCCATTATTCTTATCATTATAAAAAAAAGCTTTTTTATTTTACCATTTTGCTTAACTTTATCATTTTATTTATTTCTTTTTTCTTCTTAACTCTTTTCTTATTGTGAACAGGTTCTTCTTTCTCATGCCAATCAAGGTGAAGAATTTGGTGAAATTACAATTGACCCTGAACATCCCATTTTATCAGACATGTACATTCACTCCAATCATCGTTACCTGTATGTTGCATCACCTTATAGATTGGCAAAAGTTGAAATTGAAAGTTATCCTGGATTATCTGAATCTAATTTTGTTAAAGATGAAAGAAACTTACAAAGATCAAGTTCAAGTGAACCTCCACCAGCTCCAAGCAACTTTAAAGCTTCTATTTTGTCATCAAAAAGTGTTAATTTTTCCTGGTCATCCATCCATTCATCACCATCATCATCATCATCGCCATCCATTAACGGTTACATCATTCGTTACTGGAGAGTTTCCGATTTATCTCGCAGTGATCTAACCAAACAAGTGAACATCTCATTCCCTGCAACAAACTATTTGATCTCAAACCTTGAACCAGGCTCTAATTATCAAGCTGAAATAATAGGCTTTAATGGAGCTGGTTTAGGTTTACCTTCTCGTATTGTAAGATTTGAGACTCTTGAAGATTCACCTTCTGGTCCACCAACGAGTGTTAAAACCTTTGCCCGTGGACCAAGTACCATAAAAGTTATATGGAAACCTCCATCTCGTGATAAATGGAATGGCAAAATTTTAGGTTATCATGTTTGTTATCGTGCACTTGACTCATCATCATCATCATCATCTTCACCTTCATTTACTTGCCAAACAACCCACGTTTCATCTTACTCGAATAGTCATGAATATGTTTTAACCTCTTTGACCAAGGGAACTTCATATTCCATCACAGTTAAAGCCTTTAATTCAGCAGGAACTGGACCCGAATTTCCTGAAGTGATCACTAAAACATTACTCGGTGAGCTTCCTCCAGCTCCACATGTAAATACTAAGTCAACCTCATCTGATTCACTGACTATCAAGTATACAATCAACAATTCACTTGCTCCCATCTCAATGTTTCAATTAAATTATAAAGAATCAAAAGACGATTATTGGCAGCAAAAAAATCTCCCCTACGATGGATCTTCAACCTTCAATGAATACACTTTAACCAATTTACATCCTACAACCATTTACAAAGTTTACATGACTGCCACCAATCAGTTTGGTGTCTCTGACCCTAGTCCCATCATTATAAGTAAAACAACAAGGTCAGCCCGTGATACTCTTGCCGGTGAATCCTTGCCCGATACCCAAACTGGCCGTGAAAGTGAGGGACGAAATGGTTCCCTCAGTGGGACTCCAATGTCTGACATTGCCAACGCTTTGACCATTGTGATCGGTCTTGGAGCCATTGTGGTTGTCTTGCTCATAGTGTTTGTATATTCACGTAAAATCCGATCCAAAGGATCAGCCAAGACTAGTTTTGAATTTTGTCAAACCTATCAAACTGGTAACCTTGCCTACAATCCACCATCAACAAACGGTTCTCACCTTCATCATCCCCTTCACTCACCTCATCATCTTCACCAAACATTTGGCTCTTCCAGCCCAGATTACAATGATGACACTGATCGAACTCTTTCCCTGATTAACACACCCATGATGGATACCGTTGATCGAACCATGTCCCTAATGCATGGTTCATTGGGAGTGACAACAATCAATCAATTAACCAGTCCTTATTCAAAGATACTTATTGAGACAGATAAACGCAATTCAACATACCTTTGCTCTCGTCACATCTATGATTATCCGCAATGAATCGGAAATTCATAAATTTGATTGTAATCAAAAAAAGCTAAAAAATTCTTTCCAAAAGAGCAATTGGTTTTTGCCTTTGACAACCACACACACACATCAAAAGTCCGGTGCAAAATAGTAAAGAATCATTTATTAACATTTTATGGCCATTTTAGTCATGATAATGATTATGATTCTTGAAGAAAAGATCATTTTCCGAAAAGTTGAAGAAAAAAGTTAAATGGCTGATGATGACTACCAAGATGGTCAAGATAAAAACAAATCAATCTCAAGCTGAAATGAAGTCAAAAAGTATGATAAAAGCGCAAAGTAGCATACTATTGGAAGCTTGTTCTCACTGAGTTTAAGTACAGTGATGATACAGATTATTTATAAAAGCAAGCAAGAAAAAAACTTCATGTTCATACTCAAATTGATAAATTAACAAATCAATTACAACACTGAACGTGCCTACGTATTTGTATGGACCTGTTGTAATTATCTTTTTGATATGGCTATGTGTGTGTCTTCAAGATCTCTCATCTTCTCTCCCTGCCCAAACTATTAAAGAGTGAAGTAAATATTATATAATATTATAAATATGATAAATAATATTATTTTACTTCATTCATTTTGCACCAAATTGCCTCACCAGATAGCTACAGATATAATCTGTAATTTTAATCAATGATAAAAACAACAAAGTAAATGATGATGATGATGATGAACAAACAACATGGAGAGCAAAAAACGAAACGAAATTTTTGTAAGATGAAAAAATTGATGGACAAAATTATCGTCTGGTAATTCATCATCTCATTGTCCCTTGTCAAAGTTTTCAATGGTGTTTTTGCTGTTAACTGCCTTTTTCCTTCTCAATGTCATAGTCATGATTACAAACAGGGTTTGATCTCTCCACCCATTTATCCACCAATTCTGGGAGACCGACTAAAGAGGATACTAACGATCTGTCAACGGAAAACTTGATTTACATGACCTGGCGCAGTCATGTCCACAGTATTTAGAGCTTCTTAATCTTAATTCATCCGTGAATGACAAAAAAAACCACCACCACAATTGGCTTATCCGCATAAACACACACACACACAGACAACTATCAACAGACCACTTTAATTACCAAATTACACACACTGTATACAACAACTTCTGAATAAGATCATCTTTAAAAGGTTACTCTCTTTTGACAAGCAAACCTTTTCCAAGATGAGGATAATGATGATAATTATAATTATGATGATAATAATAATGGTGCTGAACAAGATGATGGAATGACGAGGAATTAATTTGCGTCAATGAAGCCCAAGCAATTGTTTCAAAAGCTTACAAGGAAACTTAATAGGCCCAAGAAAAACGATTTCAGGAACAAGAAGAAGAAAAAAACAAAGAAAAAGCCTCATTTTTTATTCTCATTTTCATCCCTCTCTTCCCCATCTTCCTTCTCTTCATTTACTCTCTTTCCATTATAAAGAACCTTGTTTTTATCATCTTTTACACTGGAAAACAAAATCGTCAACTTGATCATCATTTTCAACCTTCTTATGTGTTCAGTGTCTTTGGTACTTTACATGTGTGTGTCAACTTTTGCTTTCCTCCCTCTACTTCAGGTGTAAAAAATTGACACCATTTCTTGATCTTCCCTTGTTTGACCTTTGGTAAATACATAATGTACATAAAACCTATCTTGTTACAACGGTTAGTTTATACAAATATATATTCAATTTTATTTTTTTTTACCTTCACTTGTCTCACAATTTTGTTTAATATTGTCATCACCATTAAACCCTCATCATTACCATGATAATTTTTTGTTATGAAAAAAGACGAAAAACAAAATTAAACCAATTCATTTGCAGATAGCACATAAATAACAATCATTAACCCAAACAAAAACCCAATTTACATTACATTTCATTATACAATTACCGGTTTTATTTACTGACGAGCAAAACAAAAACAGATATTTCAAGTCATCACCTTTAATTGTCTAAATATTATCCTCGGCTTTTACCATTGCAATCCTCATCTTCACCCCTCCCCATTCAACCCAAATTATCTTAAATTATCTGTTAACAAGAGGACAAACACAATTTACTATTAAATATAAATTGGTTGAAACAGTTTACTCAACTCCAAAAACCATTATCAGATTTACACACAAAAACAACTGTAAACATCCTGTAACCTTTTAACTCTTGTCTCGCAATGGTCATCAATAATTGTCCAAGAAGAAGGCGAAACAAGAAGAAAATAGTTTCTTTTTCTTGCCATTATCATCATCTTCTTCTTCTTCATTATGATACTCATCATCTCACCCTTAAAACTCTTATACTCTTGACTCGGTAAAACTGTCTTATTAACTATTCTTCTCACTCATCTTTTTCAGTCAAACTTTCATCCTACAATTTTCATCATCATCATTGCTCTTCCAATGTTTATTTATGTGTCTTCACTTGAGCTTCATTATATTCACCATGAAAAGTATTCATCCTTCAACTCTTGACCAAAGCCTTTTCTTGCTTCCATTTATCTTGTTCAAGTAAAAAAAGAACTAACCTTTTTTTCCAATTAACCTTAACCATGATAATGTATTCAATTGATACAGAGAGAGTCAACATGATATGTTAAGAAAATCAATTTTTTTATTTCTCACCATTTTCTAGCTCATTTTACTGGCCATTTTTATATTAATACTTGAAGAAAGTCGTAAAATTTTAATGCTTTTTGTGATGAAGCAAAATAATTACAAACAAAAAGCAAAATTGTTACTTCATTACAACTTACCTGTCAGTATTTGATGTTTATAAATGTATGTGTGTGTGTGTCTGTTTGATGTGACTTGAAGCAAAAATGACAAACACAAGAAGATGAAAAAAAGAAACAAAAAAGTGAACACAAATTAACCGAAAAAAACCGGATTCAAATGATGAACCATTCAAATTAATTAGTCTCACTCTTGGTTTTCTTAAAATGGCAAAATACATGGTAACATTGAAATTGAATTGGATTAATCTGACTCTCTTTTCTCTCTCTCTCTCTTCTAGCACGATTATCATCTTTTATTCTGAAATTTATCAAGACTCAAATACTTAGAATGGAATAAAAGGAAAAAGGAAAAGAAAAGAATGAAGATTAAAGTGATAAATGATTTGAATTGATGAACGCCTACTGATTACTCGTTTACTGTTCAACTTGATGTTCAAGATTAACTCAGTGAATACGATAAGAAACCTTAAGCACAACATGGGCAACAACAAGAAGTAACAACAAGAGCATCACTTTGGATATCCAGTAAACAGATACAAAAATGAAAAGGAAGGAAAGGGAAGGAAAAAAAGGCAAAGGAGAAAAGATGAACAGAGTAAAGCAAATGATGAAAAAGGATGAAACAAGAAACAAGATGATAAAGGAAAGAAGAAAGGAAAGAAGATGAAAACAAGAAATAAAGACTCGGAGCAAACGAAGATGATGAAGAAGAGAAATGGCGACGAGAGTTAATTGATTGAGAAAACTTTGCCTTCTCATTTCTTCCTCTCTGATCATTTAATCAGTTTCTTACCCAATTTCCTTCTCATCTCTCTCTCTTCTTCCCTTTTCCCTTTTCCCTTTTCCCTCTCATCCCCATGTTAATCCTCACCAATCCTGTGGTCGACAATTAACAGCCTGAAAAAGCAATAGTTGAATAGTTGATTTAGTTTTAATTGTTTCTTCTCACTTTTAAATCATCTCACATTACACGGAATCCCACTCATTACACCATTGATAGTCCGTTGTGTTCAAAGGTTATCCCATGTTATTCAATTCCCATAGTTATTTAATTACTATGATAATTAACGTCTGATTCCTCTGCATTTCACCGCAGTTGACCTTTCAACTTGAAGAAAATACGTTTTCTCTTTTTACTGGCACACACTTGTTCACTGAACTAACCTCCCCTTAGGCTGTTATTTTGTCTCTCTTATTATTCAACCTCTCGCCCTCACCTTACTTCATCATCATCCTTTGCCTTTGATTAACTTTTCAGTTTCTTCTGTTTCACTTGTAAATAATTCAGTTGCGATTATCATTTGACTCGTTCTGTTTTGTTTTATTACCTAATTCACTGGTCATCAGGAGAAGAAGAAAGAAAAAAGTTACCCTGAAGTCACTTGATTAGGAAAAGGTGTGTGTGAGAATGTACATTTTTTGTCTGATATTTCTGGTAAACAAATGGTAATAACTATAACAAGTAATAATAGTAATAATGGTAATAATAATCATCATCATCATCATCTCATAATAATGGTATTAAATTATTATTTAATCATTATTATTATCCATCTTTATATATGAAAATGGCGTGTCATTTCATCGGGTTAACAGCAAGTGTCTTGGGTTAAAAGGCAAAGAGAGCAAAACAAAAAACCCATTTTCACAGTAGGTGATACCCATGTCAACGCTATCCTAACCGTTAACATTTGGTGCCATTTATACACATATCGGCACTCTTCCTAAGTGTTATCATTATTTTCACCTTTAACCAATTTCAAGGTTAATTGTTGTGAAATTTTGGGCGCTCATATTTGACTTTCTCTCATCATCATCACCATCATCATCAGCTTCATGCCTTTACCACTCTTCATCAGATACAATTTCATTAGAGTCACGATTCTCTCAGCTTTCCTGCTGATTCTGATTGTGATCTTGTGATTTGAAAGACCCTTTACATACAACACTTGCAGTCGGTAGAGAGTTGCCTCCATAGCATCACATTCACAAGGCATAAGAGCCTTTTTTACGCGTTAACTGTTTCTCAGCTTTTACTCAACTTTGACCAAACACTTGGAAATAACTTTTCATGTCGTCGTCAACATTTCCAATCTCATTAGCTTTACCTTGATCATGCATAAACTTGATGCAGATTGATAAAATTGATGAAATTGTAAAGCTTGAGCAGGGAAGAAGAAAAATAAAGCAAAATAACTTTGCAATACAATAACATGTAATTTAAATTCTCACAATTTGACAGCAAAGCAAAAGTAAAATATTAACTTTTACTTGATTCAGTATATATTGATTTGACTTTGAAGGTAACACAAAGCTGAGCACATCAACAACATTCAACTTTGCCCGTCAAAATTGCTATCTTTGACTTGCTTTTCATTTTTTTCCCTCTTCTTCATGAATTGAGCTCTTTTCACTCTCTACTCACCTTAATACCGTAATTCAATGAATGACGAAGGTAACCAACAGGTTGCCAAGTAAAGCCAAAAGGTAACACAAAAAGCACCTCAAGAAACAAGGAGGAGGTGATTTGCTATCAAAACCATCAAATTTGTTTCTTTTAAATTTCATTTTGTCTGTTCACGTTGATATACATTATTTTGTGTCTATCAAACAACAAGAGCAACAACAGTAAAAACAACTTCAAGGTTCACTGAAAGTTCTGAGGTTGAGAGAGAGAGAGAAAAGGTAAAAACAGAAAGTTACAAATCACACACAATTACCTGGTGAAGAAGTAGCAAAAAAAAGAGCAACCTTTTGCTTCTCTTAACCTTTTAATGCTCATAATGATAACTCATCAAATGTTTCACTTTTATCGCTGATTTGTGATTCAAATTTCAGGATTGGTTTGTAATAATAATTGATAATGTAACTTGTTTCCCTTTTGCGTTGAAAAACCAAATTCCGGGTTCACCATTGAACATTTTTGACTCTTCAATATTTCTTGCTTCTTTCACTTTATTTCACAAATTATTACATTTCATTCTTTTCTTCACTGTTCCAACGGAATGGGGAAGACAAATGATGGACTCAGGGTGAGGCTTGCCACCGTTGGTTGACTCAAGCTACTATTGAGCTGAATAAGATGACCCTCAGGCTCAGAGGGTTGACTTTTTTCTGCTTCTCTTGTTCATTCCATTTCTTCCTCCTTGTAATCAGAGATTTTCATTTTTTACTTTCTTTCACGCTCTTCTTCTTCTTCTTCTCTGTCTCTCACACTCTCTGAGGTTTCAATTTCATTTCACAAAGAGATGAAAATGAAAACCCGAAATGATTATTATTTTTTAATATATCAAATAGCATGGATAAATTGTGATTGTAAAAGAGCCACTCAACTCAAAATTGCTAATGATAGGTTCTTGTGCATAACATTTTTTGTTACCATTAAAGTATTACTTTTCACTTTTAGTTTATTTTTGACTCTCTAGAAATGACACAATTATCATTATCATTTTAAACAAATGCACTAATTTGATTACATTCAGTTGACATTCAAATGACATTTCATGCATTTTACCCAATCATCTCACCGAGAAATGAACCTTTACCAGAGTCAAATCAACACTGACGACCAAACAAAAATCTCTGTTAAAAGCTCATCATTTTATAAAGTCCTTTGACTTTGTTATAAAAATGATTTGTTGTTTCAATAATAATGCAAAATGAGGCGAAATTTTTATTCGTTGTTTTGGCTCAAGGATTGACTTTGAATCTTGAATCACAACTAGCATTGGTTGTTTCAAAGCATTTCTTATCTTAATAGGAATGAAAATTAACTCGATGATAAGCAAATACCTTGGCAAGTGAGTTTAACTTTGAGTCAAAATGTTTAGAGCTGGGAAAATGTGAACCGTTTAGTTTTTGCCCTGTAAAAGTGGAAACATTTATAAGGGTTCAAATCAAGTTGAATCATCAAAATTATCACCTTTTCCATCAAAACTATTATTCTAACTTGTTTCAATTTGTTGTTACA